CCGGCCTCCCCTCCCTGGGTCAGCCTCCTGCCTCACCAGCTCCCCTGGCGCCAGAGGCACCGAGCAACGCCCCCGGCCACCCAGGTCCTCACCCTCTTCTCTGCCAAGTCCTTCTCCTTCTGAAGCTGCCGGCTCCTCTCGATCCAGGCCGCAGTGTCGTCCAGCCAGGGGTCGTCCTCTCCCAGAGTCTTGATCTTCCTGAAGAGGGAACACGTGAGCCTTCGGGAGCCCAGCCCCTCCTGCCCAACCCCGGCCACAGAGCTCCTCGGCGGCCTCCTTGGGCCCTTCCCCTGCCCGCCCTGGCTGGGGCCCCCCTCACCCCAGCTTTTGGTTCAGGAGGCGCTTTTCTTTGGCAGCCGCCAGCTTCTCTCGTAGCTCCTCTCGCTGCCGCAAGGCCATGGGGTTGATGATGTCGGCCGCCACGGGCTCCTCCTTGGTGCCCGCCTCTGGAAGGGGGGCCCAGACGTGAGCCCATGCCTGCCCACGGCTGGTGGGGAGAGGAGGGAGGCACTCACCCGGCCCCCTTCCAGCTCGGGGGGCCAGAAGGGGCCAAGGGAAGGGGGAAGGATCCTTCCCTTCCCTACCCCCGCTTTACCCCCCACTCCCATGCCATCCCACACAGCATGATGGGACCCTCTGTGCCTTCCAACCCCCCCCAAATCACGCTTAAAAAAACAACCCAACACCCACACGGCCCCGATCAGTCTGTGGCGACTGCGTGCATCCCTCAGCCCTTCTAATGCCGCCTGGCGCCCGAGCGAGGTGGCAACGCCCACCGTCCAAACTTGGAGAACAAGCCGAGGGCCATGGCGACAGCAAGGAGTCCCGTCCCCACCGAGAGCGCACACACACAGACCGCGACGGCGACTGAGCGTCTGCTCCAGCCCTGCTCTCCTCCACCCACACGCCCTGCCTCACCCCCGTCCTCGGCCACACACTCACCCTTCTTGACGGCATTGACCTCCAAGGGTTTCAGCCCCAGCTTTGCCCGGAGTTTACTGAGGACAAGAGATACAAGTGTTAGGAGCTGTCAAAAAATAAAAATGAGTCGGGGCACCAAATGCATTTCTGGACACACATGGGACTGAGCGGCGCGAAGGGTCCCAGACACAGGGCCGGACCGGGGCGGTCCGCGGCATGGGAGGGCCTGGCCTCCAAACCAGGGAACGAGGGTGCTGGGCCCTCCTGCCCCGGGCCGGGGGCTCAGTGTCCTCCCCAGAGCTCAGACGGTGGGCTAACGTGGTTTACGGCACGTCCGGTTCCAACCGGAGCGCCCTTGTATGCGAACAGCCTCCCTAACGCGGCCGCTCCACACCTGCCTGTTTCAGGAGGAAGAGGTGGAGACAGGGGAACAGGACTTACTTGGTCTCCTCGATGCTGAGTGACGAGGCATCTCCCGAGCTGGGTTTGGAACTGGCAGCTGGAACGACAGGACGCAGGGCTCAGGAGCTGAACGCGCATCCAAGAAGCCACATCCTCGGCCCCGGCTGCAGGGCCGCAGACGAGGGCCCTCGCCAGCACCGGCCTCCCTGAGACTCGGGAACACGGCAGCTGTCGCCCAGCCGCGTGCCTCCTTCTGGCTGAGTCCCAGTCCTGAGGAGCCCTCCTCATCGACACACCTTCTCTCCTTGGCCCCAAATGCCCGACTTTCCGCACCCCTCTCTTTGCTACGCCTTCCCTTTGTGTGTTCTGTGTTTGGAACCTGCACTGCCCGCTCGGGCTTCACTCCGAACGACAAAGTCCCAGCCAAACGGCAAGACCACGTGCCACGTCCCTCAGGACGTCCGGTTCAACCGTACATCAATCAGAACGAGCTGCTCCCCCAGACTCCACAGCACGGTCGGCCACTTCTGGGCCCGTTACTCCCCGCGAGGCAGGGACCGTGTCGGCAGCATGGCCGTGTCTTCTGCAATTCACGGAGTCAAGAAAAACACTCCTTGCTGTCCTGCTCTGTGCTGGATGTTGGGAACGCAGAGGTAAAGCAGCATTTCAAACTCCCTCCATCCACCTCACGAAGAGAAAACAACTTCACCGAACACAGGCGGAAGCTAGACACCCTCAGGTGGCGCTGCCCCGACCGAACTCCCGCGGCACGCCGGTCCTTCCTGCACCCCCACCCCACGACCCTCCTCCTCCCCTTCCCTCCCACGGGGACCCTGGATTCCAACCCCTCCGGTGCCCCGTCTCCAGGCTCGCCAGCCTCCTTACGTCTAAATCCAACGGACTCTTTGCAGCTCCGGTTCTGACGGCCGGCGGTGTGCGATGCTTCCGACCACGTCCTTCCAACAGCCCTCCTCCCACAGACCCCGTGACACAAGGCTCAGTGCTTCTCCTGCCTTTTGGCCACTCTCCACCTTTCCCGTGGTGTTATGCTCCACCTTCTACTAAAGTATTAGCATTTCTTGGGCTCTGCCCCTGACCCTGGCTTCACGCTCCCCACTCTCCCGGGGGCCTTCATTTGCCACCGAGTCACTCGCCTCTCCCACATCGCTCCATCGAGCCCAGACCCTGGGTCTCGCCAGTGCACAGCAAATGCAACACTCCCCAAAACTGAGTTCATTATCTTGCCCCCCACATCTGCTTCTCTTTCAAACTCCTCAACTTCAGTGGACGACGCCACGACCCACCTAGCTGCTCAAGCCGAAATTCCAGTCACCCTCAATTCCTTCTTTCCCTTCCACCCTCACGCAAGCGCGTTCACTCCTCTTTGGAACTACCCCTGCCGTCGGGCCGAGTCTCTCCACACCACCGCCGCTGCCGCCACTTTGGTGCAGGCCACTTCTGGCCTCCAGCCTCCACCGCCCTCGACCCAGTTCTCCATGCGGTGATCTTTGCAAAATGTGCACGGGATCAACTCACTCCCGCTTCAAATCCATGGCTCTCTACCACCCCCCAGGACAAAGTTCAGAGTTCTTAATACAGCCCACAGGGCCCTTTCTGTTCAGACCCCTACCTATCTCACAGCCTCAGGTCTCTCCTGCGCGCCCTACACGATTTGCCCTCACCTTACCAGGTTTTGTCTTGCTTCTGACACGTTGACACCATTCCTGTCCCTCCCTCCCTCCCTCCTCCCTTCATTCATTCATTCATTGAGGGCCTGTGAATAGCCAATTAAGGAAAACAAAATCTCTGTCCTCAGAGATTAGTAGAGGAGGGCAACCTTTAACACCAAATACCCTTAAAAAGGCCTTTTGGTAGGTGCTGACGAAGACAACCTGTGGCTGCCTCCACTTGCAAAGCTGGGCGGGCCCTGCCTCCACAGCCTGGGACCCTGGGACCCTGGGACCCTGGGACCCCCGGCCGGCCGCCCGCCCCGCCCCGCCCCCTGCGCAGGCCCCGTGCCTCACCGGCCTCGTAGCCATCGTCGCGCTTTTCCCGCTTCACGCGCCGCTCGGAGGGCTCGGCCTGGCTGCGCTCCCGCCCGTGCGCACTGCTGCGGGCCTCGGTCTCGCGCCGCCCGCTCCCGCGCTCGGTGCCCCGTTCCCGGCTCCGCTTCCGTCGTTCGCCACCGCTGCTGCCGCCGCCGCCGCCGCCGCTCCGGTGCTTGTGTTTTTTGTGCTCCCGATGTCGCGGCGGCTGCTCGGTGGCGCCCCCGGTGCCGGCCGCTGCCGTCGTCCCGGTCGCCTCCTTCTCCCCGCGGTGCTTCTTTGACGACCCCATGGTGGTACGTCTGCCCCGAGCCCGGCCGCCACCGAGCCCAGACGACGCAAAATGGGAAAACTTCCGGGTCGCCCGGCAGCCGCTGTCGTGTTGCCGGAAACTAAGAGCGGCTGCTTCCGTCATTCGGCCAGCGCCTGCCCCAGAGGTTCATGGGAAGGCCGGGATTGGAGCCGGAGTGCTGGGTCTCGGCTCCCTCCCGCCGGATGGGCGTCTTTGAGTCGGTGGTGCAATGGCGCGTGCGCTCATCTGGGTGCGCGGACCTGATGGAGCTCTGGGCCCCAGAGCTATGAGGGCCTAAAGGGCATCTGAGCCGGCGTCCCCGGAGCTGGCGGCCCCTGCCGGGCTTCCCTGCGCTTGCACAGCCCAGCCGCGGGATGCGCACTGTCTCACGGACTTTCCGTGGACAGCTCCCCCGCTCCAGTGAGGCGTCCCCCAATGGACTCCCTGGGGTCGTGCCTCCTTCGGGTGCTGGAGGACCCAGCTTACTCTCCTCCGAGCTCCACAGCCCAGCCTGAGTCCCTCTAACCAGTTTTGTCAGCAAAGGCTGCCTTCCCCGGTTCTCTGGACTTTCCCCCCCAATTTTTATGTATCGATTTTAGAAAGAAGAACACTAATTTGTTGTTCTGATTAGCTATGCATTCATTGGTTGATTCTTGTATGTGCCCTGACCGTATCTAACCGGCAACCTTGGCTATGGGGCTGACGCTCTAACCAACTGAGCTACCCGGCCTGGGTCGGAATGGGTGTTCTAACCTGCGCTCCGTGAACTGCTAAGGAGCTCCAGAAGAACTGTGTGCTTGTGAAACCCCTGAAATGGGGTGCAAAATTTGGCACAACTGTGTGTGTGTGCTTTTTTTCCCCCCGTGAGAGGGGCTATAACTTGAAGTTACTTAAAGTTAAAAGCCCAGTTCACGCAATCCCTCCTGACTCCCCCCACACCCCCACCCCCGAGTTGCGCCATCTGGCGTTCCCCAAGCATACATCTGCTATGGTGTGATGTACGCGCCCCTTCAAAGGTCTGCCCACGCCCCCAACGGACTGGGAGTTCTCAAAGGCAGAGGCCATCCTGTCCTATTCACTCTCGAATTTCTAGGACCCAGCATATGTGCTGGAGGCTGGGGGGTGGGGTGGGGTGGGGGTGCTCTGTGAGATGCCCCACTTCTCGGCAGCAGACAGAAGGCCGTGTGTGCTGGGTGCTGGCGGCTGAAACACCCAGAGCCCCTGGGGGGATGGGGAGATGAGCTCAATCTGCTGCCTACCCACCCACCACATCCTCCTCCCAGCCCACAGCCTCTTCCCACCACCACCAGCAGTTCCACACTGTGTTTTTCATAAAGCCTTTAATTTTTATCTAAGGGACTGGATCTCCAGTCTGGGCTTGGGGTGGACTGCCTCTCGGGCTGGCTGCCGACGGATTCTGTCCTTGGGGGGCTTTGAGAACAGCGCTCCACTCTCTCTGTTGACCTATGCCTCCTTAAAGATGAACACTAGGGTAGAGGCCACTGGGCTCCGCTGCTGCCCAGCCCCCCACCCAGGGACACCCGGGCTGTAGGAGGGGAAAGGGCACTGCCGTTTATGATACAGGTTCAAATCTGGCTCCTATGCTGTGGGACCCTGAGGGACTGACTTCCTGTCTTTGAGCCTCAGTTTCCTTCTTGTGAATTAGGCTTCATAATCCCTGCTCTGCAGCGGGTTACTCTAAAGCATAAGGGACAGTATACAGGGGGGGACTGGCATGCAGCCAGTTCACAACGGAGGCTTGATGTGTAGCCACTCAGATGGCCGAGATTCCCAGACTGACTCTGCTGCTTATTCACTCCCGTGTCCTTGGGAGAGACCCTGCCCCCTCAGGTCTTGAGTTTCTTCACGGAGAAGTGGGGGAATAACCCTGGCCCCACCTTCCTCAGGTGACATGGAGGGCAGAGCCTGGGGATGTACCTGCTGCCTGCTAGAGGAGCGGAGTCTTCGGGGTCATGGAGGGGGGATGCGGGGTGGACAGGGCAGGACTGAAGCTTGGGTTCAGGGCTGCCCACCGAGTTCCCTCGGCCTTTCCCCAGACTCCCAGCCCAAGTTGAAGGGCGACAGGGAGATGGCAGGAGGAGACCCTGCGGGACCCGGAGTGCTGGTGGTGGCGCCCCTTCTCCCCACAGCTGGACAGAGCCAGAGTCTTGGCCAGCTGGACGGCCTCACCTGGGTTTCCTGGAGGTGCCCTTGCTTGTCTCAGCCAGCAGCTGTTTCTCATCCAGGCCCAGGGCCGACAGCACCTGGGAGAAACGCCTGGTCACGGTGAGCCGGGCATTGGCCTGGGGAGAGAGAAAGGGGGGCGGTGTCCTGCTCTGCACCAGGGCCACCGAGGACAAGTGGGGCTCTGCTTACTGAGGGGGTCCAGGGCTTCCACATGGGCTGCAGCCTGGGGTCCCATCTAAGGGGGCCCTCTCCCACTCTGCACCCCCTACCCACAGGCCCAGTGAGAAGCCGTGTTCTCAGGGGGAGGCCACCTGCCTGCCTCACCTGCATGGCCTGCTGGAACAGGTAGGGCCGGGCCTGCACCCTGTGCTGGATGCCCTGCAGCTCGGCCTGGTACTCAACAAAGCGCTCTCGCTCCTGGCGCCTGCGGGGAGACGGGCCTCTGGGCAGCTAGCCCTGGACACAACCCATCCCCACTCGTGAGCCACTCGTCTTCACTGAGGACTATGAGTCCTCCCGCCCTCACCTTTACAAGGCCATTTCACGCCTGTCCTCGCCCTGGATCCCTCCTGAGGTCACTGGGGTAGGAATTAGTGTTTGCCCCACTCTACCGCAGCTCCCCTAGGGCTCAGGAGGGTTGAGCGGCTTGGCCAAGGTTGCACAGCTGGGACCCGAGCTGAAGTCTCCGGGCTGTGCAGCCAGGGCTCGCCCGTCCTCCCAGCCGCCCCTGAGGGAGAGGGGCCAACGCTGGCTTCTGAGCAACTGGGCATCTGCTCGCGCAGCCTCTCCCCTCCCTGGTCCACGCCCGCACCTTCTCCCACTGCGCCTGTGAGGAGGAAGCTGTGGCTTTGGCCACAGCCCTGCGCTGGGCTCTGGGCTGTTTTCTCCTCTGTGCTGTGGCAGGGATCGGACAAGCTTGCCAGCATTTGCTGCGGTTCCCATAAGCAGACAGCTTAGGAAATGGGACACAGGAACTAGACAATGTGTTGCAAATGAAAGGACACATCCCGAAAGATTTCCGCTGGAGAAGCACAAACCCACTTACAAAATCCAGTCTGTGCCCTTCTCAGAAATGTGTCTGCTCAGCAAGCTGAGCCTCCTGACAGCGGGAGGGGCCCTCCGGCCCCATCACACACAGGTCCGGGTACCCATCCGAGAGGCACGAAAGAGAGGCCACAGGGCGTGGTGGCAGCACCCACAGACAGTGTGGGAGGGGAGGGGAGGCTAGCTCTCGCTGGCCCCCGGGCCCTGCAGAAAACACTGCCTTGCAGGGCCCAGACCCTTGGCTGTGAGCCAGGGAGGGAATCTTCCTCTGGTCAGGAAAAGGACATAGACTTGAGCCCTGGCTGCTGTGGCTCAGTGGACTGAGTGCCGGCCTGCGAACCAAAGGGTCACTGGTTCGATTCCCAGTCAGGGCACATGCCTGGGTTGTGGGCCAGGTCCCCAGTAGGGGGCGTGAGGGAGACAACTACACATTGTTTCCCTTTCCCTCCCTTCCCTTCTGTCTAAAAATACATAAGTAAAATATTTTTAAAAAGAAAGAGAGGGAGACTTGAAAACTCATGGCCAGGAACAGAAGTTACTGCCACAAGGAGTCTGCCGTGTAGGAGGGAATTTACAGCAGTTACAAGGGGGCGGGGCGCTGGGAAACATGAGCTGCCATTCAGTCTCCGTCCTGCCCGTGATGTCACGTGCGCTCTCCTGCCTGATCCTTCTGTCATTTCTGTTAGAATTCAGAGAAAGCACGGGTCTGGGAGCCCGAGTGAGGAAGGGGGCGGTGTCCGTGGATGTCGGCCCCGTCCGCCATCATCACCTCTGATCCCATGCAAGGCACTTCACCTCCCCGCCCAGGGCAACCTCTCTGTGCCCTCCCTCCTGGGCAGGCCGGAGTCTCCGCTGCAGCTCAGACGGAGGAAAGTTCCCAGGCTGCGAGGCCCCGTGGGAAATACCTGCTCCCAAGAGGCAAATGAAAGGTGAGGGTTTGAAATACTCATCTCACTGCCATCTGCCCCTTGGAGTTTGAAACCTTCCGCTTTCTGCCTTTGTGAAAAGCAATGAACTTGAGGTCTGGTCAGAAGGCATCTCCCAGGGGGAAGGGAGACGGAGCCAGGAAGGGGCCGCCCTGGTGCCAGCGGCGCCCAGTAGGTGCTCCTTGTCCACGGCAGTGGTGACCTCAGCGTTATCTGTTTCACCTGGCTGGGCTTTGGGGGAAGATCCCGGTGCCCTCTGCCTGAGGACTGGGTGAGCACCGAGCCCTCCCAGGCAGTGGGGCGGGCGGCCAACGGGCTGCCTGGGTTGGAATCCCAGCTTCGCTGCTCACTTGCTACCTTTGGTACATTATTTCCGTTCTCTGAGCCTCTGTTTCCTCATCTGTAGAATCATGGGGATGGCGATAATACCCACCTCATGGGCCTGTTATAAGTCTCAAAGAGATTTTCTTTTAAATACGCATTTGTCTTTTTTTTAATGGTCAAGCTATAGGAAGAGACTAAAACAGATGACTCTTCACCTTGACCATGGGCATTGCCTTCTTCAGGAGTGGGATTATAGGTGCTGTTCACCTTGTGCATCCACTCTTGGTAATAGCTGAACTTTTATAGCAAGTATGCCTGGCTTTGGAACAGAACAAGATTTGAAAGTGATGAAGCACGTAGCACATTGAACCTGAGCGCCTGACAGCTCCTGAGATTGGTACTCCCCAGGCGACGCTGGCCCAGCCCCTCCCCCTGAGCCCCCTTGTCCTGGTCTGTGAAGTGCAGCAAAGGGGCCGGCCGGCCCGCCCGAGCCGCCGGAGGGTGGCAGCGGAGGCTCAGGCCTGAGGGCAGGGGAGGGCAGGGGAGGACTGGGTCTCTTGGGACCTTCTGTCCGTCCCCGCCAGGCCCCCCCGAAGCCGGGCTTCCTACCTCAGCTCTTCCAGTTTCTGCCGGGCGGCCCCCGGCCCTCGGCCCCCTCTGGGCGCATAGGCCGCCAGGCAGCGGGCCACCTGCTGCTGGACCTGCTGCTCCCGGGCGCGCCGCAGCTCGGCCTGCTGCTGCTCCTCCCGCTGCCGCCGCTCCCAGGCCTGCAGCAGGCTCCTTGGGCGGGGTGGGGGAGAACAGGAAGAGAGGTGTGGGGGGCACAGGAGCCTCATGGTGGCGGGGGCGGGGGGGGGGGGCGGGTTCAGGGACCAGGTAGGGCAGTGCGGGGCTAGGTTAGTGTATTTTGGTCTGAGGGACAGGTGGATGGATGAATGGATGGAAAGAAGAAACAAAATGGATGGACGGAGGGGCGGGTGCATGGTGCGGACGGTTGAATAGACACCACCTCGGTTGGCCTGGAAGCTTCTTCCCCCAGATCTCAGGCCAGTTCCTTCTCATCAGTCAGGCCCTGGCTCGCGTGCCGGGGACAGAGAGTCCCTCACCGGCCCATCGACCCCTCTGGTACTGCCCAGCTCTAGCTAAACGCTTGGTTCCTTTATCAATTCTCCTTCTGCCCGAGTACAATGTAAGCCTCCCGGCAGCACAGTTTCTCGTCTGTCCTGATACATTCACCGCCGACGTATCCCCGGCAGCTAGAACAGTGCCCAGCCTGGACAGACACTTGGTTTTGGGGAGTTCCTGCAGACCTGGGTGTGGTCAGATGGAAAGATGGACAGACAGGCAAAGGGGTAGATGCAGTTATTCAGTTAGCATGTATTTATTGAGCATCTACTACGTACCTGGTCCCATGTTGGGCATCAGAGATGCTGTGATTGACAAGGCCTGGCACCCGCCCGCCCTCAGGCTGTGCACAGGGACCGATGGACAGCCCGGCACCCCTGCCACATGGCGGGGCAGGCAAGAGCCATGACGGAGGCGAGCACGGAGGAGAACTGGCGGGGCCCCTGACTGGAGAGCCGAAAGGTGCATCTGAGCGAGCTGGGCAGAGCAGGGAGAGGGCCAGTCCCAGGACAGCAGAGAGGGCCAGCACGGGCCACAACAGCCACTCTGACCGGTGGGCATGGAGACAGGAGCCTCCTTACCGAGGGCGCCGGGCTTTGTCCCGAGGGCGCAGGAGGCACGGGCGGATTTCAGGCAGGAGATGACAGGGTAGGCATGGAGGGCACTACCAGAATGCCGAACGGATTCTCACCTGCCACCTCTAACCCGTCCCTGAGGCCCACTGAGCCAGCCTCCAAGTGGACACCCCTCTCGCCTCTCCCCTGGCCACCTGGTTCAGGCCCGTCCCAGCCCCCACTGATGCCGGCAGCTGCACAGGCTATCCGGACTGCGCCCTCCGTCCCCCACCCCCGTCTCCCGTGCAAGCCCCGGGCACGGCGATCACCCAACTCTGCCGCCATTGTTGTCGCTCCGCCCGCAGGCCCAGAGCCTCGTCGGTCTGGACCGAGTGTTCAACCTTTATATCCCACGGACCATAAGTGTACACTCCGTATGTGCTGCATTGATCACTTAGTTAGTAAATTAGGAGTGGATAGAAGATGGGAAGAGACTGAAAAAGTTGCCCACGTCAACAGACAGTTGGCCAAGCAGACGGACAGACACACAGACAGATGGGTGGACGGAGAGATGGATGGATGGATGGATGGATGGATGGACAGAAGACTGATGAAGAGACGAAGGAAGAGAAGGAGAGGATGGATGACTAAGCGTCACTTGGAGAACTGCCCCCTTCCCTACGCTCTGCCCGGGCCCCCACCCAGCCTCCTCCCCTCTCCACCTCACCTGGTGGCCGCCTGCCGTTTGTGGAAGGTGCGGTTGGGGAAGTTGACGAACAGGAGGGTCTCGTCATCCCCCGAGGCATGGGCCCACTCGCTCCTGTTGGAGGTCTGGACGGCAGCCCGCAAAGCCTTTGAGAGATGCTTTGTGGGACCAGCCCCTGCGGGGAAGAGTCAGAGACTGCCCTCTCTCTCCGCCGACTGGGCAATCCCGCCCAGCCCCTGGAGCCCAGGCCTGCCACCTGCCTGAACTCCTGGCTCAGGCCCTGGCCCCCCAGCCTTCTCCCCGATGTGGAACCTCCTGGGGCACCCGGGCATCGACCCTCACGCTCACCACAGTCCAGGTCTTGCTGTAATTGCTGCCGCAGCTCTTCCAGGTCCCTTGTCCCCTCCAGCTTCGGGGCCCTTGCCTTCCTCCTCCGTGGTCCTCGGGAGTTGCCGGAGCCGGCGCTGCTCCCTTGCCACTGCAGCTCCCCCTCCTCGGAGGCCTCCTCGCAGGAATTCCACCCCTTTCTCAGAGCCCCCGCCCTCCTTCTGGGGGGGGCCCTGTGCTCTTCCTCCTCACCCTCCTCCGCTGCCTCTGCAAACCACTTCTCCCTGGGGATCGGCCCTTTCCTGGGGAGCTGGGGCAGATCCCTCGGGCTCAGACCCCTCTCCGCCTCCTCAGCACTGGGGGCCTCCAGCTCAGCAGCCTCCTCGGACTCCGACTCGGACCCTGACCTCTTCCCAGGCGGCTGGAGGCCACGCTCATGCCCACGGGGCAGCGCCAGCTCTCGGCCGTCCTCTCGGTTGGAAGGGATGGAGACGCAGCTCCAGGCTCTGAGCTGCCGACTTGTCTCCACGTTCTGAGTCTTCGTCTTCCGGCGTGAGCCGTGAGCCTCCAGGAGGTTGGCAGTGGACTTGCAGCTGGACTTGTGCTTGGGGGATACCAAGGCCAAGAGCGGGGCATGCTGGCCAGGGGCCGAGGGGGAGCCAGGCTGAAGCGTAGCTCGACTGTTTCTGGCGACGCGCTCCCAGGCCCACTGGAAAGGGAAGGAGGGTTTCCGAGGGCAGGGGAAGAAGAGACTGAGGAGGGAGAGGGCAGGGGGCAGAGGTCAGGGTCAGGGTGCCAGCCCCCAGCGGGGCCTGACATCCAGCATCCCACCCACCCACCCTCGGCCCTTCCCACAGCTGCTTACTCCTCAGCCTCGGCAGAAGCATGCCCTTTCTTGTTCCTGGCCCTGGACGTCCGGTCCTTCTTCGCAGCCCGCCCTACGCTCTGAGATCGCGGCTGCTGGTCCTGAATCGCACTGTCACCGCTCCCGGGCCTCCTCTGGGCAGAGACAGGAGAGGGGGCCCAGCTCCTAGAGCACCTCGCGCCTCCCCAGGGGGCCTCCGCTTCTCTGCGCCTTGGCTGGCCCTGAAGCGGACTGCCAGCCACCTCAGTCCATGATATTCAAACCGCAGCAGCTCAGGACTTTCACCTTCCCTTCACGCTGCCCCTCACGCCGATGAGAACACCGAGGTTCAGAATGACGTCATTTGGCTAAGGTCACACAGCCAGTAAGCGGAGCCAGGACCTGCACACGTTGAGTCTGTCCCCACAGCCCAGATTTGTCACCATTGCACTGTGCTGCCTCTGGCCCCGGGCGGCTCTTCTGAATGCCCCGCAGGGCCCCGGATTTGTTCAGCCGACGTGGAAGAAACTCGGTGTCCTCCCCACGACGCTGCGCCCCCTGCAGCGCCGCTCCTCCAGAGGCCTGGGAGTCCTCCCCTGGTATCCTCTGGCCTTCGCCCCATCCTGGCAGGCTTCCCTCGGACCCTTCCACCCTCGAGCCTCCCTGGCTCTCACCTGGGCCTCAGCTCCAGCCTCGCGGCCTCTCAAGGGCCTGCCTCACCCCTGGCCGCCCCGACCCCAGAGAGCCAGCCTGCTCTCTGGGAAGGTTGGAAGTGAGCCGTTGGAAGTCCCCCGGCAGGGCCGCCCTCACCTGCTCAGCCTGGGGGATGCCTGAGAGGAGCTTGAGCAGCCCTGGAGCTGTCCCTGGAGCCTGGAGCCGGGGTTCCTGCCCTGGCCTCCGCGACCTGGTCCTGGCCAACTGTTGGTGGGCGTTTAGCATATTGGTGTCCGGCCCCGCCCCCCAGCCCCATCTGCCAGCCTTGGAACTGTCCTCCCCACCATCTCTATGGCAACCAGTCCTCAGCCAGTCTCCAGGGCCCTGGCGAACAGCAGGCCAGGAAGGGTCAGCCAGGGTATGGGAGCCCAACTTCCTTCCGGATGGGACAGTTCAGCAGGATGCTGAGGAGCAGTCCAAGCCTGGGAGTTCAGGGCCAAGTCCCGCCTCTTTAGGCCGCCACACTGACCGGGTCTGAGTCCCCTGTCTCTCCTTGGCCTGCGTTTCCCCACCTGTCTGTAAAATGGACCTCAAGATTCGACCACCTGGAAGGGCCCTCAGGCCCTACGAGGATGGCCAGGCGGCGCCTGAGACGGGCCCTTTCCCTCCGCCTGCCTCCGGGGCTGCCCCCAGCCCTGGTGGAGGAGGCCCTGTGGGAACCGAACTGAACTCTCACGAGGTCTTGCTCAAACCACTTGCCCTCCCAGGCCCTGGCCAGGCAGGAAAGGCCAGGACGCTGAATACCACGTCCCAGAGCAAGGCAGCAGGTGAGCTCAAACCCGAGGAAAGCTCTTCAGGGGGTGAGAGAATTTGAGCCTCATCTCCAACGCCTAGCAGCGCCATAAAGCCTTGCTGCGGTAAACCCCGGAGGGACACCCGGTGCTGACCACTACCACCCACGGCGCCAGCCTGAGGCCCTGGAGTGGCCTCTCACCAGCTCTGTGACCTTGGACCAGTCTCTTCTTCCCTTCTCCGCCGAACCGGCCCATCCCTTAGGTTTGTTGCAAGGAAAATGAAACCCCAAAGGCAATGCACTCAGTAAACGTCTGTTTTTACTGTTGTAATGACAACTAACCATCACTAGGAGGCAGTGGAACATAAGGGCTATGCGCATGGAGGAGGCACTGGGGTTCAAATCCCAGCCCCTCCACTGGCTGCGTACTTTCTCGGCGCCTCAGTTTCCTCGTGAGCGACTCGCGGGTGGTGATGACTGCCTCTGTCTCCCAGGGCTGCGGTGAGGACTGAGTCGGCTCACACACACACAGGTACACACAGCCCCGCAGCCCGTGGTGGCTGCGTGAGAGGTGTTAGTGAGCCCACAGCACGGCCCGGTGACAGGGGTTATGGAAGTACCTCCCAGCAGATGCCCCGGAGGCAGGCACGTTTTCTCAGCCGCCTGTTGCTGCAGACCCTCACCTGCGCTCAGACTAACACCTCCGCAACCAGCCCAACCTACTCGACAGCCTAAAGGACGCTGCAGGTGAAGGAGGTCTCCTGTCTCCCCAAACAGGTAAGCTCAGCTCTTTCTGGTGAGCTGTCATCCCATCCCCCCCCGCCCACATCCACCTCCTCTGCTGACTGTTACCCCCGGGACCTCAGGTGGAAGGCACGGGGGTTTCATTTTCAGGGAACTAGGGCCCTGCAGACCCCGACACAACTGATTTTTTGAACCAAGTCTGGCCACTGACATGCTTGGCAGAGGACAGGTCTGGGCTCCTCAGGGCACCGTTTTCACCAGGTGCTTTCAGACCGCGTCTCTAGCCTCACGCGCTCTTCTGCAAGGGAGCTCATCCGCGGCCTCCCAGCTGCCCCGGTGTGCACGCCTCGGCCCCAACCCTCCCCTCCGTAGTCCAGGCTCCTCCAAACGCAGCAGCTTCACGTGCCCCTCGATGGCATCTGTTCCTCCTGTGCTTGACTTAATCTCATGTTGTTCTGTACAGTGACACGCTGTCCGGGCGTGTGGTAGGCGCCGCCACACGGCCTCGGTGTGTGGGACGCTAGACCACCTGGGTCTGGGTAGGTGCCTCTGTGATGTTCGCACACAGGCCGAAATCACCTGATGAAGCATTTCTCTCTCTTTTTTAAAGATCTTATTTATTTATTTTTAGAGAGAGGAGAAGGGAGGGAGAAAGAGAGGGAGAGAAATATCAATGTGTGGTTGCCTCTTGTGCGCCCCCTGCTGGGGGCCTGGCCTGCAACCCAGGCATGTGCCCTGACTGGGAATCGAACCCGTGACCCTTTCTTTGGTTTGCAGGCCGGTGCTCAGTCTACTGAGCCATGCCAGCCAAGGCTCTTGTCTTTTTCTTATTGACTGGCAGGAGTTCTTTATTCACGAGGTCGCAGCCATCTGTCGGTCAGCACCATCACTGAGGGCCTTTGTGGAGCAGAAATCCTTGATATTGACATGAATCTGTAAATTTTTTTTTTTTATCATTGTTCTTGAAGCACACAGTTGTCTCCACTCCCCCGCCCCTCCCCGATCTGTGCATGTTTTGGACAGGGGTCTGGATTTCGGCTGCCTGAAGTCCTTTACCGGCCCCCAGGTGGGCATTCTCCTATAATTTTGTCTGTGAGCGGACAGTGTAACGTCCGTGTGCAGAGTGACGTGCTTTGTCCTTTCCTTTTCTGTCGCTGTCCTCATCTGGTCTGAGTCACACGAGGAACCGCGCAGCTTTCTCTCGTTGTCTGTCTCCGGGAACAACTTGGATAAGATAAGGACCATCTGTTCCCGGAAAGCCTGGCGGCGCGTCCCTGCACGAGCGTCCCCGTCAGGGCTCTGTCACGTCGGAGTCTTCGACTATAATTTTATCTGCTGGTACTGATCTGTTGCAGTGTTTTTACACTTCTCTGCCAATTTTGGCGTGTCATACTTTTCTGGGGAGGCATTCACTTTGATTAAGTTTGTATATGGACTAACATACAATTATGGGTCATATCCTTTAACATTTTGATATTTTAAACTTTTGTGGGAGCTCGGGGGGTCAGATCACGTCCCGTGGGGCCCGAAGGCCACGGAAAGGACCTTGGATTTGTCGTCATGAGCGTGACGGCAGGTGCGACAGGATCCGGGGAGTGGCACTGGGGCCAGCACAGAGGGAAGGAAGCTCCACACTCAGCTGCCGCGGGCCAAGGTCCTAATCGTAAAGAAAACAGAAAGAAATCACGTGTCACTCTCGAGCCCTGGACCACTCGAGAGCGTAAAGGGAGGGAGGGTGGATCCGGAAACGGGGTTCTGCGAGGAGGGTCGTCTGAAAGAGCTGACGCCGCACTGAATTCCAGCACTCCCTTCCGAGGACGGCTGGGGGGCTGCCTTCTAGTCCCAAATCCTGGGAGAAGTGCTTTGAGGAGCCGTGTGGAGAGCCCGAGGTGGGCTTCACGGAGTCATGGCAGCCCAGGGGGCGAGCGATCTATGAGACCTCCAGGAGAGGCTGCGGAACCACGCTGGGGACTGACCCTCGGCAGGGCAGCAGGGGGTCTTGCCCAGGGGGCTTCTGCTACCTGGCGGCGGGCGAGGAGGGGGTTACCCAACAGTGTGGGTCTGTGTGTGCCCATCCAGAGAAAACCAGAACCAGCCAAGAGGGAGGCCCTGCCCGCTCCCCCGGGGAGGGGAGTTGCAATCAAGGGGGAAGCTACAAAGGAGCCATCACAGCTCCCCCGGGGTGAGAGCCCGCCTTAGTCCAGGGTCACCCAGAAAGCAAGATGCCGTCTTGCCCAGGACGGAGGAAGAACATTGCACCCACTTTCTGTCCACTGACTTCCCTCCTTGTCCGTGGGGCCCAAACGGCTGGGGAAGTGGAGAGAGACTGTCGCATGGAGGTTAGAGATTTAGCCGCCACACAAAACTGGGCTTCCTGATAGACCCTGCCCACTGGCCTCAGGGGACCGCCGCACTGTGAGGGTACACAGCACAGGAAGTCGTCATGGCCTTTAGGGGGCAGAGAAGCAGGTTCCCTTATGAACTTTAGAGGGACATTGGGAGACAAAAATAATCTTTTATTGTAGCCCATCAATCTGGGTTGGCCAAAGCAGCCATCACAGTGGAGGGTTTTAAGAGGGGCAGTGATATGAGCTGATCTGTGTTTTTAAAAGACTCCTCTCGCCTGTGTGGCTCAGTGGATTGCGCACTGGCCTGCAAACCCAAGATTGCTGGTTCGATTCCCGGTCAGGGCACACACCTGGGTTGTGCGCCAGGTCCCCAGGTGGAGGCATGTGAGAGGCAACCAATGGATGTTCCTCTGACTTTCTGCCTCTCTCTCTTCCCCTCTCTCTCTGAAAAGAAATAAATAAAATCTTTAAAAGACCCCCTCCATCTGCTGTGTAGAGAGTAAACTGGAGGGCCGGGGCGAGAGGGTCTGCAGGACCGGGCCGGGCAGGGCCGAGAGAGGAAAGGGGAGGAGGGCCCGGGGACTGTGAGCCTGGACCCGCCGCCCCTTGAGGTCGGTCGGTGGGGAAGAAGGGAGCCAGGGGCATGAGGGCTGCCAGCCAAGGGAAGGAAATGTTTCAGAGAGCAGTGAGTGACCAGCTGCGACAAGAGCTACCGAGAGGTCAAGGCCAGGTCGCCAGTTAACAACTAGAGTGGGCCACCTTCCTTGTTCCCTAGGCCCACAACCCAAGGCTTGCACACGGCAAGGGCAGGCTTGTCGAACTCCAGCGGTGGTGGCGGTGCAGTGGGGCTGTCCCCATCACTCAGCTCCTCCCCACAGAGCCCTGTCTGAAACTTCCCCTTTGGAGCTAAAAGGAAAAGTTCAGGAAAAATTTAGCTAAGGTCTAGGAAAAACTTCCTTTCCCCCAGGAAACATGCAGACTCTGTCTTCTTTGCCCGTGGGGAGGGGGTGCTAAGTTACTGTGTTTCCCTTTTTTTTGCTTTGGCTGCCAGGAAATCGGAGTCAAATCTGTGACATTCAGTTAATACAGCGCCTTATAGAACGCTGTGGGCTGTGGGTTTATATGTTCAGTGTTTAAGTTCCGATGTGCATTTTCTCTGTTTAATTATATTTTCGTGCTCTCCAACCTGCATCTCTTTTTCTCTCGCCTTCCGTGTTCTCACTGGAAGCGACCTCAGCTGCACCGGGAAGGAGGCGCGTATGCAAATGAGTCCCACCGGCTCAGCAAACACATGGAAATGCCTCGCACCAGTCAGGCCCCTCGGGGTTGCAATGGACAGAACTAAATTAAGCCATAAATGATCAAAATAAGTAACTGGCTGGCTTTGCTAAGTCATAAAACCA